TGTGCAGGCCGTTTTTTCAAACAGTAATAAATTGTCTTTGGTTGGGCTTTGATATTTTCTACTATTTTCAGAGGAACATGTGGTTCAAATGGTTTGCAGAGAACTGAATTCTGCTATTTTTACAGATTACGCAGTGTCCCAAATTTTTTCTGAAAGCCTGGTTACAGTCCTTCAGCTGCTCTGCATTTATAAATGATTTCAAAACATTTGAGGTTAAAAAAAAAACACAAGTAAGCTTCTTTCAAAGCCAAAACATTCATTAGCTCTGTCATAATGGCTGCCAAGACAAACCAATTTGAGGCCAGACAATTTCCCCTCCAAACAGATAAAGGGGAGGATGAACTTTATGCTGCACACATTTTTTTTTCTTTTTGTCATTCTAGTTTTGTCACAAATGGAAAGATTTAATCTTAAATACTTGAGAAAAGCATCTTTGCTTTAATGTTTTTTTCTTTATGCTCTCTAAAAATGTCAGGGTGTGTCTTGTTCGTTTTTAAAATTTCCCACTTGAATTGCTCCCAGTATAACGTGTTCCACTAGCTCAGAAAAAGCAAACTCCGCTACATGAATAACACACAAAATATGCGTTTTAAACAAGCTGTGCAAAGACCTTTAAGGTATTGCGTAATATAAAAAAGATAAGAATCCATAATGTTTTGGGCTGGGGATGGGAACAGGCTACTCAAGGCAAAATATTTCAGCCAAATTTTAAGATCCATGTAAATTTATTATATAACAAATTCCCATTCACTTTTAGATCATTTCAACAAAAAAGTATTAAACGTTACATGATCCATATTCATTTTATAATAAAGATTTGATGTTTATTTGAAATATATAATCATCAGGTTGATGTATTTAATATTGATAAAAAAAAATATAAAAAATTAATAAATTATATATATATATATATATATATATATATATATATATATATATATATATATATATATATATATATATATATATATATATATATATATATATATATATATATATATATATATATATATATATACTTATTCATAATTAATACTAATGTGTGCATTTATTTTTAAAAAGATATAGGATTATATAAGATAATTTTTTGAATTATTATTATTTAATTGGCTTGTTGAAAAATTAAATATGAGATATGTTTTCAGTGTATAGAAATGGCGTTAGGTGAGTATTATTCTAGAACCTTTTTGAAAAAAAGTAGTGTTACTTTAGTATACTGTTTACTTTTTTTGGTCAACATTATTGTAAGGGAACACTGCATAATACCTGGCTCTTCCACCCACTGTAGGTTCCTGAAAACTGACACATTTAATTCATAATGCACCAGAAACAGACCCATGTGTACAGTTTGTTATTGTCTGTCTTCTGGGACATTTAGATGCCAGTTGAATTTACAGTAAACTGTCTGTATTTGTTACTGGAAGAACTTTGCGCTATTTGTATGTATTATCTGTAAGTGCTGTAAGCTGCATAAACAAATTTGGAAATGTAGGTTTCTTTTGTCTTAACATAAACTTTTGTTTCACATACTTGTAAGGACCTGCATATATCTGTATGTCTACATACATAGACTTAGGCATTCTTTATGAGTCTTTTATAGATTATAAATATTTTAGGAACAGTTTCTCATTTTAAATGTCTTTTTTTCTGGCCTTTACTTCTTATACTTGGTTACTTTTTGCTTTTACTTGAGTATAAATTGATCAAATTAGTCTCACAGTTAGACTACAATGTCTATACCCACCTTTTCATATATTTCATAGACAAATGACTCTTAGTTCACTCTTCAAGAACTACAAAAATAAAAGTAAAATAAAGTACAAAAAGTGATCACTCTGTTCTTACATCTCTAGTTTGGCAGTTCTTGTAACCTATGCAAATGTTACAACAGTAGGGATTTATAATGGCTTCCCAATAGTTTCTATCAGGGGCATCTAACCCTGACCTGGCAGGAAATACTTCTCTTTCTCATGCAGTCTCAAGTAAAAGAAATAATTCATAATTTATTGCTGAATAATAAAATCTGTTTTACAATGATTCATTATGTAGAGCTAAGCCTCTGAAGTAATCGCAAAAGCACATTTGGAACAACTTTTCTTTTACCATAAAGTTATAATGGGGGTTTGGCTGTTTACCCAAAAGAAACTATATTCATATGATTTACTTTTTTTTTTTACTAACTCTTGGTATTAAATTAAACACATTCTCAAGAAACCATTGGTTTGTCTTGGTGTACAAACTAATCTAACTAACTAATCTTGATGCTACAATACTGTAGTTAGCTAACTAATTAGCTTCCATGTCCCCAGGATCAGATGGGTGTAAATAGTACAAAATCTCATTTGTATGATAAATTTATAAATCTTATATTTTAATCTGAAAACCTCATGCAAAGAGAAAATACAATTAGATAGATATGTATGAACAGGAGCAAAGAACAGGTCAGTTTCCTGGTGGTGGAGTGGAGATAGATGAAATTGGTCAGTCTGTACACTGCTGGTTAGCGAGACGCTATGCTGAGCATTGTCCAGTGGACTGGGTGAGCTGACACTAGAGCTTCACTCAGGGACCTGGAAGATGGAAGTCCAGTTGGATAACATAGGTTGAGAGAACCCGTCCATGATGAGCAAGCATGGAGCGACAGTGGAGAGGAAAAACTCCCCGTTGGGAAGAAACCTCTGGCAGAACCAGGCTCAACATGGCGGTCTTCTGTCGGATCGGTTAAGATGAGACGGGGAACGCAGTAAGAGTCCGGGAAGAATAAAACTCTATTGAAGTTTTAGCTACGATGGTGGAGGAGGGGCTGGAGGTGGGTTGAAACGGTGTCATCTGAATTAAGTCACACAGAGCATCCGCCGCCTGCCCACAGGAGCAGTCAGGTGCGTATCAGAGGCCTTTTAAATAAAAGCAGCTTTACTTATTGTGAAGCATATAATATAGTTTCATTCACAAAATTGCTTTTATTTGTATTTTATATAACCTGCATATTTAGTTTCAACATGTTTAGCATTATGTTATAGCTATTGTATATATGAGTTTTTTTTCCCAGTCTAATTAAAGGGTTGTTTAACACAGATTAAGCTTTTAAAAGTTGCTCTTTTTTTCAATGCATGTCTCTTCAGTTTACATTGCAAATGGATGAGTCAGGCTAACATTATTTTTCATTAGCATTAACTATATTGTCATGAAAGCCAGAAAATGCTTAATAAGTGTGATATCAAAGTTCTCCTGTCATTCTCGGTTTGACCATTAAAAAACTCCAACTTGCTTTTATTTACTAGTCTTTAGACCCAGTATTTCTATGCTATTTAAGGTACTATTAGGAATATCTAATAACCATTTTGTCTGACTATTACATTATGTTGTTGCTCTCAAGCAAGTTGTCTATCCCTTTCAGTTTCATTACATTTCACTCGTTGTAATGCTGAGAAAACACTCCTGTCAGTCCAGCTGTTTTGCTCTACTGAGTTTGTTTTATCTAACCACATGCAAAGTCTCTTTATCTGTATAATCAAGACTGTAATCAGGCAGCTTTGTCTGGACAACAAGGGGCCAACATGAGGCAAAGAGGGCCCTGAGGCCTCCCTGCTACCTCTGCTGTAAAACTTTAACTTATAGACAGCAACATGTCCTTTCAGGTCCCATGGTGATATGGCTGAATGGTAGAGGAATCATAGCTGAGTTATACGGAATTTGGCATCAACTGATCTTCTGTGTATGGAAAAAATGGAGGAAAATCAGGAAAAAAATGTGCTTACTGTTCTTAAATTTTTGTGCATGTTTGTTAATAAATGCACCAACCACAGTTTCCCAAAAATAAACTCTTATCTCTCTCACTAGCTCAGCTTAGCATCCTGCAAACCTGTCCTCACCTCACAGCGGTTCCTCAGGCAGGCACAGATGGGAACCCATTCGTGTGCAAACTGCAAACTGAGCCGTGATTGTCCTGATGTCTGTCTTTGTCTTTCAGTAATATCCCCCAGACCCATCATGCAAATAAAGCCCAAGTAAGTGACTTTACATGTATTAATTAAGGCTCATAATGAGCTCAGCATGATTAGGCATTTGAATGCATTCCTCGGGTATTGTGCAAACTCTGTGGAGGTTTCGCAATCTAAGTCATTTAGATGCGGGGGGAGGCAAGCAGATAAAGGCCTAAAGCACACAAACACACACATGCAAGCCCCCTCTTCACCACTGAAACACACACAGAGGTGCTAATGAGAAATAATCAGGCTGTTAGTTTCAGTTACTCTCCACACAATAAAAGATGCAAATAAGCCAAACGGTAAAAAGCATACGTTTTTTTTTTTTTTTTAATAGGAACAACTATTACAGTCACAAGTTTTGCATAAAAAAAGAAAACACTCAAGAGAATAATTTTTCATTGAAAATAAAATGTTCACCCACAAGGTGCACTATATAATGCAGGAGTATGTAACAAAAGTCACATCTCATTGGATCATATAAATATCTATTAACACAATACAAAGGGCTAAAAAAAACAAATGTATAAAAAAAAACAGACAACTGTGGAATGTTTGTAATTATCTGTGCACCAGTGTTGATGTTCAACTGCTTACATGGTTGTTGCTGCCTACTACCTCATTGCAGTTTAAGCTAGACAACCATGAAAACACAACGCCGACCCCAGCGTCCTTTATCAAAGTCTGTTTGTCTGGGAGCTTGTTTTAATTTCTCGTTCACAGGCTTCTAACGCTGAGCTCCAGCGTCCGCTTTCAAACCCTTGCTATGGGGATGCGACCGCACAGCCAAAGCCGTTCCGGCTAAATAAGTGAGGGTACAAGACTCTCCCTCCTTAATTGTACCTGAAGGGAAATCCTTTTAAATAGTAGCTGGCAGAGGCAGGGAGCTGGCAGCGAGATCAAACAGTCGCTGAGCAGAAGCCTTTTAAATACAACACATTCACTTGCCGACTTCAAACAGCCTCGGCAGGCTTTATGCAGCAGGGCCGAGCTGCGGTCAGCATGTTCTCAGTGAGGCTTCTGCGTAAACGAGACGCTCCTACTTCATTCCCTATAACGGGCTGCTTTTCACGCAAGCTCTGGCTCCACTGTGATTGCTTTGTTTCAGGTCACGACGACGGCGGTTGAGGAACTTTGCTTTTCTTCAAATAGACCTCCGAGCCTCCTTCAGGCACCAGGTGGCCAAAGCTGCTCCTGAATGAAGCGAGGAGTCGGCCTGCAATAGAGACCAATGTTAAAGACGCCTGAAACATCCCTGGAGTAACATGTTCCTACATGACATCCAACAAGAGTTTAGTCTTCAGCTTCAGAAAAAAAGAAGTCTGTTTACTTAGATGTCTCAGTTGTGCAGCAGCTGTGATTATACAGGCTTATTGTGGAGGATTTCTGCACAAATACCAACCTAATGAGACTTTCCTCGAGGCCTTGGGCCGTTATAAACCCCGCCTATGGTTGGAAATATTGTTTTTAGATCAGGCTGCAGATGAGTGACAAAAAAACTCTCACCTGTCCACGTCTTCTGTCCGGTCAGAGTGAAGCTGCTGCAATGAGAGTGGGAGTTACAGATGTATGCCGCCTCTCTGGCGCTGTGGACGGACAGCACGCAGCCCTGCTGGCTGTAGGATGGCCAGCAGCGGTACTCCACATTCCCAGAGGTGCTCATGTCTCGCATCACGCTGTAATCTAAGCACAGAATGAGAGACGGTACTTGAGTATACAGAACTGCTGAAGGAGTTTTCAAGCACTTAATGAGGACAAGATCAAAAGTTAGAAAGTCAAGTTAGCTTAGAGAATCAAGTTATGGTTTACGCAAAAGTTTTCCAACAGGTCTTCCTTTGAAATACAAATAAAAAATGGTATACCACAAGGTTCAGTGCTAGGAACATTATTATTCAACATTTTGTTAGCTCAATATTTAGTGGGGAATTTTTTTAGTTATAAATGAGATTGTTTTCTCCAGGTGAGGTTTTGTTCTTTGCAACATCATCCTGTGTATTAAAAGCATTAAACTTAAATGCTGTTCTTTTTAATGCCCCTTTAACCGAAAGGTCAGCAGTCACCTGTTCACCAACTCAACAACAGATGGTTATCAAATTAAGTTAGTATCCAAATAGATATTAATAATTTAGGATTTTTGGAAATTTTTGAAAAGACCCACCATCCTCACTTAAAAAAGAAATTCACATGTACAACCCTGTACCCGCTGCCAAGAGTAAACGCCTATTAAACGTGTGCACAAGCCCATTTCTCGTCATGCATGCTCTTTTGTTGCCGTTTACATCGCTAATACAAGCTAACTTTCCAAAAGAAGATTTGCAATTTTTCCACTATGTCAGACTTATCACCGGTAAGTGGAAATGGGGACAAGCACATAGGACAGCCTTACATAAACATAGCACCAGAATGATTGAAAAGTAGGAGGACCTCTTATTTTGATGATCCACCCGAAAAAAACAAAACAAAAAAAACATCCCCCATTACACTTTTAAGCCGTACATTCAACATTAAGTTAAAACAACTGAAATTTTCATTATATATTCTCATTGAAACAAGTGTTGCTTTTGTGCTAATTTAAAGTTTTAATGGATAAAGATTGAGCTATGTGGTATGTGAATGTGTCGGCTCATTGTCTATACATGCCAGACAGTTTACCATGAAAGCTTGAGATTTATTAGCAACTGTGGCCCCTTACCTACCATTGTGTACTTTATGGTAAAGTTAACTGGATGTCTTTATGTGTCGGACACCTTGGTCACTAAACAAAGTGGGGCAAGGAAAAAAAAAAAAAAAAAGAAGAAACTCAACTTAATCTCTGCTAAAACTGGTCATTAAATGGTATTTTTTTATATTAAAATTTCTAATTAGAAAATCTTGGAATTGTACATAACAATTTTTCAAGTTTCAAGATATTATAACTTCCAATAGCTTAAGTCTGTCCCACTGCTGTGCATTAGAGCCAGGCCCCCCTAACGCAGTCCATATTACTTCCCTTCTTCTCAACATTTGCGTTACATTTATCATCATAACTCTTTCAGTCAGACGTCGTGTGGATCTGGCCTTAAATCATCTGCTACACATTAGCCGGAGCCATGAGAGAAAAGCATGCACACATACGTCTGCACGCATACCCGGCCCAGAAGTGGACAAAAGCCTCGCCTGTGTGTCGGTACGGAGGAGGCGCATAACAAGCTGGTAACCTTTTGTAAATGGCAGGAGGCAATGTGTGTGTGAGAGAGAGTGAACGAGAGACTGTGCATTGTTAAGGAGTGAATAGAACCTGAGGATCAGCATTCAAGGGAACATGGAGAAGGGGTGATGATCCCCCGTTTGGGGGAGGAAAGTAAAAGCCTGATTACTTAGCTCAGCTGTTTTTAATTTTCATATTCAATATTCAGAAAATCGAATCAGTTAAATTTGAACTCTTGTGAGGACACTGATACCAAATGAAAGCTTTTCTCCTCCGCCCACAAAAGTTACAAAGCTACATCTTTACTCCATGGCGGCCTCCTCCATCACAGCTCAGATGATCTCCAAACAGTGGAGAAATTACATCCACATTACTGAAGACTCTCCATCTGTCAGCAATTTTAAATTAAGACTTCAGGCCTGATGACTATCTTTTTTTTCCTCCCTCAAACATACAAGCATGGGATTTTTTTTCTTTCCCTTCCTGAGAAATTCCACTAACACAAAGCATAACCAAAACAAATTCAAAACTAAGCCTTAGCTTACCCTAACTATAACTCACACCGCTGCCCTGATTCTAACCAGAAAGGATGCTGCGCTACTTTAGGACATAGCTTCAAGTTTCCTTCTTTGTTTACTGAATCAAATAAACAGTTAAAGAGACATTAAATGATCTATTACTCCATTTAATTCAGTCCACATTTATTGAATCATGAAGCAAATATCTATGACTCGACTAAAAACTTCTAACCAAACATAAAAACAGACCAAGCGTTTTTAAAAACCCCTCAGCTGTAGCAAAATCTGCAGAATGCTGCTATAATAAACAGACATTTTTTAAGCCTTATCACACGCTTGCTGGCTGGCTCAGCGGCAGCAGCAGTTGACTCCTGGCACCCCCTTGTTAAGCCGAAACATTCCCTCCCTCACTGTAGCCTCTTTTCCATAACCAGGCCTCTCTTTTACCCCGGACCTGTGATTAAATTCACAAAGCGCTGCTATATAAACAGCCCAGCATCTGGGGGACGGAAAAAATCTCCCCACAGGAACGCAGCCAGTCATTCTGTTATTAATATTTCATAGGGCCGAGAGGAGCGGCGGGGAGGGAGAGCCGGAGAGCGAAGTGGAAAAGTGAAGGACTTTCTGTGCTTATATGGAGAGAGAGCGGAAACAGGGCTGAGTTTTAAAGCCTTAATGTTGATCAAGTGCATTCTATTTGGTAAAATAGACTTTTACATAAAAAGTCTCTGAATGATAATATACTTTGCAAAAATATTCACACCCCTGCATCAATATATCATATTGGGATTTTATATGACTGACCAACAACAAGTAAAAATAAAACTTTTTGAAAATAAAATCTTTTGCAAAAATAAAGTTCAAAGGTGTAGCAAGTCTTTGCTTTAATCAATCGCCCCAAAATCAAATCTAGATCTACCTCAGTTTAAAAGCCTTCCTATTATGAAAAACAACTCAGATGAGTAATTGAATTATTTGAATCCACCTCTTTTCTGAAGGCATCCAAACTTTGTTAGAAAACCAAAAGCAAACCAGGGATCAGAATCAGACGACAGGCAAAACTTTGAAGAGAAAATTGCAGCAGGTTTAGCTTAGATAACAGCTTACATCTCAGAGTTCTGCTCAATCCATCATTTGCACAGAGGGAGAGGAAAGAGCAACTACAGACTTCCAAAGACATGATTAATACTAAGAGAAGCAGCGAAGAAGCACATGAAAACTCTGGAGGGAACAGCTGAGATCCACCACTCAGGAGGGAGAAACTTAGTAAAAGGTTGATTATGAAGTCCTGTTTGCAGTTTACCATCACATATGGAAAACAACACATCATCCCGAACACAGTATGGCTATCATCAAACAGGGTAAAGGCAGCATCATGATGTGGGGTCGCTTTTTCTCAGTGGGGATTAGGAGGCTGGAAGGCACTGATAGGAAGACAATGCAGCTAAATTTAAGGCGAAAACCCCGTCAAAGGCTGCAAAAGACTTTGGAGAAGGAAAACAACAGGAAAACAACCCAAAACATAATGTAAGGCAATAGAAAGAGTGTCCTAGTCAAAGTCAAAGAATTTATGTTTATTAGAAACTCATAGAGCTAACCTGACTGAGTGTGAGCAATTTTGCAAGAAAGCAAGATCTAATTTCAGGCTCTAAATGAGCAGAGCTGGTTGAAGCTCGCAGCTTTTCTGAAAGGCAGAAGTCTTAACTTGGAGGCCTGAATACTAAAACAGAAAAAAAAAATCTGTTTTTATATATAGAGAAAGATTTTAAAACCACCAATTTCCTTTCACTTCGCTATTATCCTGTTAACATAAAGTTTGTGGTTTTGAAATGAAGTGCAGTGGAGCTACTTTGACAAACAACACAACGCTAATGAGAGTTGTTCAGCATTAATCCCACTAAGTTGGACTCATCCTTTCATTCCAGCTGCACAATTAACCTGTCAGGAAAAGACAGAGCTTAACAACCATCTTTCCTTTTCCCTCTAACGTTTCTAAATGAAAACAGAAGTGCTTACAATGCTCCCGTTTCTAGGCGCCTCATGAAATGAGCCTCGACTCCTCAGCTCTTACCTCTCAGTATTGAAGGATGCAGGTTGTCCAGGTGAATGCCTGATTTGTATAGGAGGAGGATGCGTTCAAAGGCCTCCAGAGTTTGATTGATGTTGGCTTTCAGCTCCCCTGGACACACATAATGAATTCAGTCTGGTCTGCATGCTCAAAGGGCTGGTCAGTGTAGATTATTTAAATATTTCTCAGCTTTTGATCAAAGCATCCAGATCTTAACATAAAACTGATTCCAGGGTGCTATTAAGTGTCAGGAGGCAACTTGTTCAGCTAATTCAATATAAAAAAGCCTTGAAGGCATGCCAATGCACGATAGCTGTAAAGGAATGATGCACTCTCTGATCTCTGATACTTAATCATGTCGGTGTGTGTCTCGTGTTCACCTGTGGAGTTCATGATGTGGTCTACCAGGTGTGTGAGGCCGGGTGGGGCCTGGTGGGGCAGCAGGTAGGTGAAAAAAAACCTGAAGAGGTAAAAGGAGCCTTTCAGAGATGGAAAAACAGACTCTGCTGTTAGAAACCATAAAACTGTCAGAAACCTAGCCCTGTTTAAAGGGAAAACACGCTCTTTTTTCCAGCTATCACACCTCCATCAAACAGAACATTTCCAGCTGTACATCTTTATCTTTACTGTTATTATTTTAGTTGTCAGGTTAACCTGTGTTTTAGTCCCAACCACCCGGAGCACATTCATCATGCAGTTAAACTGTCACTTCTTTTCTCACCTGTAGGCATTATAAATGTTCCTCTTCTCGTTTAGGCCCTCGCACACACCCTGAGACGAGCAGGGCAGGGTGAAGTTTCTGTGCGGAAACTGGAGCACGCAGTCGGCGTCCGTCCGACAGGCGGGTTCTTCCGTGCTGACGTCGTCCAGATCGGTGAGCTTCAGCTGGCCGGACACAATGACGAACTGCCGAGGCTGGAAGTCCAGCAGCCCCACGGAGCCCAGAGGAGACCAGGAGAGGAAATGCAGGAGCCGGACCAGATCCAGACACACCTGGAGATCAGACATGCCGAAACCTGATCAGTTCAGGGTTAAATAATTAGCCTTCAGCTACTGTCTCACAAGCTGAGAAACATATTACAGGCAAACTCGTAAATCTGACAAAACTATTTTCCTCTTTAATGCTTTTTTTTTTGTTTTTACATCATTATCTTAAACATTTAGGTCTGACAAAAAAAGCAAAACATATAAAAAAAAATGCACAAGGAAACAAATACTTTCATCCAGTCCTGTATCTAATTGATAAAATGTTTATTTAGCCAATTCTTCCCAAATATGGAAGAATTTACAGTTCCTGTTTAATTTTTCACCTTCCATATATTTCAGTGTTTTACTCTGCAAGTTCTCCACTAAGAATTACTCTAATCTGTTTTATTGTCAAAACCATTCTACGTTTCATAATAAGTTTCAAACCTTTAAATGAGATCTTTTTAAATAAATAAAATGAAAAGGAATCAAGATAAATGATTTGGGGTGAAAATTGTTCATTTTAAAATTAGAGCCAGCTTGTTTAAAAGTTCTAAATTAATGTTTAAATTATAATACAATCAACAATTCTTAGAGCAGCTGGTTTTTATTCAAGCCGCGTCGTTCAGTCGTGACTGAATGACTTATTCATGTTAATCTTACCAGAGAAATCTGATTTTTTAAATATTAAATTTCAAACAGAAATCTGATCTGGTTTTAGAAACAATAATAAATATTATGAATTTTCAGCCAAATATGGCTCTTTTGTATGTGTCATCTTTAAAAGGGGTTGGGTGATGTTGGGAGTTTCTTGAACGCTGCTCTGCTGGCTCAGAGCGGAGCAAAAAAAAAAGGTGCAGGGTGAAACCTTACACTCCCAGATTAATGCACACTGCAGGGGCCCGGCCAGCCTGTCAGGGGTATCATGATCCACTATTTGGGTGATGCAGCAGAAAAAGATCCACAGCTGAGATAATTACTCGTATATTCAATCTACCACCCACTGGTCCTGTCTGTCAAACACTCCCACTGTGGGCACACCTGAACCTGTTCACATGACAGTGTGTGTTTTAGCCAGCAGTGGATTAACTCCTGAGCCTATCTCTGTTCCAGCCGGTGCCTGATCACATTCCCTGGAGAGGCAGATGTCAGACCTTCCTTCTCTTCCAGCAGGGGCACTGACCTGCCTACGTGGTAAAGACCTCTGCTTTCCTGGTGGAAAAAAGCTGCAGTGCTCACCCTGAATCTGTCCTCCCAAGGAGTCTGGAGCAGCTGGATCATCTGGAGAGGCGTGCCTTGCTCCATAATGACTGTGACTCTTCCTCCTTCCACTCCCTCTCCACCCTGGAGTCCTGAACAGTGGCCCTTAAGCTGCAGAAGGAGAATATTAAAGTTTATTGCCTTTAAACAAGATAAATATAATACTCTCCTTAGATTTAATGCATTTGAAGGCTATAAAAATGTTCTTCCAAATTAACATGTGACAGAAAAATCCTGTTACAGAGAGAAAGGCAGTTAATTCAGTTAAAAATGATTTGATTGAGGTGTTTCCTACAGAGGCCAATCTCAGGCTTGCTTCTAAATTGAGCCTTAAAGATCTGATTAAATAAGAGCTGAGGCTCTCAGATGGAGCCAGGACAGGAGAAGCATTGTGTGCTCCAGCCAAACTGGACAGAGGTCAGAGGGGGGTCAGAGAATTTAATTTAATTAGATGGGAAGGCCTCGGAGAGCCTGGGAGACTTTCCATCAAGTTCCCTCACGCTGAGACAAAGGAAAGTCTGAGCAAGAGAAAGATTGGAAAGTCAGGATGGGATCCAGCAATGTTCCACTTCCACAGCTCAGGCCAACGCGCAGGCTTCACTGAAACGGGGATATTATGAAATTCGGATAAAACTTTTCACCTGGATGACGTTGGGATGGCGCAGCCTCTGCAGCAGGAGCATTTCTTTCTGCAGCTTGTAGGAGACCAGCTCCCTGCAGCCCTGCAGGTCTTTGAAATCCTCCAAACACTTGCTCATGTCGATGCCCTGCTCGTTGACCAGCTTCAGCGCCACGGACTGACCTCCGGCCAGATTCGCCTTCACAACCAGCTTGGTGTATCCAGAGCCCAGAACCTCCACAGCCCGAACGTCCAGGAGAGACTCACAGCCCATAGGATCCCGGTGCGCCTTCCCAGAACCAGACACCTCATTCCACAGACTGGAGTCCAAACCATAGTTCTGCTCTAGAACTTCTTCCAACACTCTGTCCGTATCGCCATCAGGATGTAGGAGCAGAGGGAGGATTTCTTTCCTTCTTTCCCTGAGGTGGAGATCCAGCGCGCTGCGCAGCGACGCCAAACCCTCCTGATCTGTGGAGTTGGATAAGCGCGTTGATCCCGATCCAAACTGCTTCAGGCTCGTAATGAGGAGTGACACCAGAACAGACAGGACCACCAACGCCAGGAGGGCAGCCGCGCGTAAGGAGTGGCCCATTCCGGGCGCTTAGGGTCGCAGGAACTGCGCTCAGCCGCGACCTGCAGGCGGACCGCTCCGAGTCAGAGCGCTTTCTGCTGGACAGACGCTCCTCACAGCCTCCTGCTCCACAGCTCCCAGGAAACTCCCTCTGGAGGTGTGTCCTGCGAGCTGGTAACTTTACACCCGCGGGTCAGAAAGCTTTGCAGGAGAACCTTATGTTGGTGGAGTTTGCTTTAACAATGGAATCACAGGATTTCTGTAAAACTTTATGAGAATCTACGTCAACATCAGATGAAGTTGGCTTATTTTTTATTTATTTTTTAAAAACAAAAACTGAAGTAGAGGCTACGAGTTGGGAATGTATTTCCCGAATCTGTCCACGAGGTGGGAGCAAATCACCTTTCTGTTTAAAGGCATAACTGATGTGATGAACACCTGCACTTCTTTAAAAACACATCCATTAATGGACTTTTTAAATGGGTATAATACATGTAAGGATAATCAAACCAAGTCTATAGTTGTTAATTATAGCTTTCACTTTATTTTTTTTGTTTATTTTATATACATATATATATATATATATATATATATATATATATATATATATATATATATATATATATATATATATATATATATATATATATATATATATATATATATATGTGTTTACTTTTTAATTAATTCCCAAAAAGTTTGGTTTTTCCAGTAGCCATGTTCTGTTTAGGGATTGCTATCTCTGTTTTTTATTGCAATCCCCCACAGGCACATTATGAGTGTTAACTAAGTGGCAAGGGGATCAGAACTGACCCAATTATTCCACGAGGTGTCAAAATGTGTCATAAAGGCTTTTCATTTTTCCATATTAGCACAATAGCAGCATTTAGTTGCTGCATACTTTTTTGTCAAGTAACTAAGTACAAATACTTCATTACTGTACTTAAGTACACTTTTTAGGTATCTACACTTTACTCCATTACTTATTTTTCTTCCTGCTTCCGACTTCTAGTCATTACATTTTCAAACTACTATCTGTACTTTCTATTCCTTACATTTTAAAACAAACGTTACTCGTTACTCTTGGCTTCGGTTTAATGTTTATAAATATTTATTTCACGTCATGTGCGCCATCCAATGCAGATCAGTGGCGCCATCCACAACTAGTCAAAACTAGTGTAATTAGATGAGTCATTAGCTAAATAAAATTATCAGAAGCAAGCAGGTGTTCTTCAAACTGCAAACGTGAATTGTCTATGCCGTGCTACCATGTCGGATTCAGAAAAAGATTTTGAAATGTCTGAAAGGTCGGACACAGGCGGGACCAACAAGACCTCCCTCATCATTGGCCCTATCTCAAAAAATGTTCAAAGTAGTTGAAAAATTGAGCTTTCAATTCATATACTGGCATTTGTCTGTTTTTTTTTAGGTTAAAGGTTAATACTTTTATACGTTAAGTAGTTTTTGGAGCACATACTTTTTCACTTTTACTTGAGGAAAGAGGTCAACTTGATACTTCAACTTTTATCAGAGTGTTTTTAAACTGCAGTATCTATACTTCTACTCAGAGATGGCAAAAGTACTCACTTTCCATACTTGAGTACAGGTACTTGTGTTAAAAAATACTCGGGTAAAAGTGGAAGTACTGATTAAACTTCTTTACTCAAGTAAAAGTAACAAAGTACAGGCTTGTAAATTTACTTAAAGTATAAAAGTAAAAGTAGAAACCACTTTTTTCATGCAGTTGCCTACATTTTAAATGGATGTCTGCCAATAGGACTAGATCTCCGTTGTGTTCATTTTCAATCATCTCGTCGTCCATACTACTATGCTAACGCCACCGCCACCAAGCTGCAATGATTTGCCGCGAATGAATATCGCCGAATCTGTCGATTCATCTTGTAGTGGTGCGTCAAATGCAACGTAGATTCCCATCCAATTAGATTGAATTTGGTATTGATGACGTGAAAAATAATAACGGTAACTCCATTGAAATGATTCAAAAGTAAAGTAACGAGCCAATTTTTAAAATGTAAGGAGTAGAAAGTACAGAAATTTTTTAAAAATGTAAGGAGTAGAAGTAAAAAGTCGCCATAAAAATAAGTAGTAAAGTAAAGTAAAAATATCAGAAAAATCTACTTGAGTACAGTAACAAAGTATTTGTACTTCGTTACTTCCCATCTCTGCTTCTACTTAAGTAACAAATGTGTGTACTTCTGACACCACTGAGGATCGATGATGTCATTTCTTCTCATGTTTAATAAAGTAGTTTGAGATATTTCAGTGCTGATAAAAGAAAGATAGGCTGTGATGTTTAATCTATGTTTGGCACATGGTTTACCATAAAACACCGATCCCCACAAGGGATCAATGTTTTTATGTCTTTCACACTAAATTATGAACATTCCCCCTCAATGCTGCAACTAAAAAATAGAATTTTTTTCACTTTTACTATAATTTATTTATATAATACTATAAAGTATTAGTGAGTAGTAAAGAACTGTAACCTCAGGCCCTTTTCCCGAGTTGATGGGAACTGGCACCCATGGTGGTTTTTAGCAGCTGTAGTCCAACTGCTTCAAGGTTTAAAGTGTTGTGCATTCAGAGATGATGTGGTGTCTTACCTCACACTCTGCAGAAATACTGTCTGCTTCTTTCCTGTAAATGACGTTGCTTTAAAACACCAGTAGATCAGCAGTTTGTTGGAATAATTTCACTGGAGGCAAAGTGATTTACATCCCTTTTCTTCATCATTCTGATGATCAGCAAATTATCTTCACCACGTCTAAATGCCTCAAGGCAAGTTGCAAAAAAAAAGCTGTAAGGCTTATTAATAAGGTGGTGAACCAACTGATAAAATCTTCATTCAAAGCAACACATTAAAATTCAAAGATACTGCTTATATAAAAATGCTGGAACTAATATATAAAGCAGTAAACAAATGTATTCCTTTTGGCATTCAGAAATAATTCAAGTTAAGAAAGAATAAATATAATTTGCGAGGTTTGTTTATATTTGAATACTCAAAAGAGAACAGCCAGATAAAGTCTAGATGTGTTTCAGCTATTGGGGTGAAACTGTGGAATAAATTGAATGATGATTTAAGTTATGCTCTTTCTTAGTGAATTTTAAAAGAGCTTTTTGGAGCTATTTATTCTTTATTTCTTTATCCATTTAAATTGTGTAAATGAATTCCTAAATTTCAATTATTTTTCTTAATTATTTATTGTTCTGAGGGATTGACAGGAAGTGATGTGGATCATTCCACTTTCTATAAGTGTAGGGGGTTGGGAAAGGACCAGCAGGCATTTTGGGTTTGGGGACTATGGTTTTTACCAGTGCAAGAGAGGTAGGACAAAACAAAAGTTTGTACTCTTTAACTGTTGGCAAAAATAGAAAATAAACCATCCAGAATCATCATCAAGACTGGACATTGAACCTTCTTTCGCCTGCGTATAGAAACTTGACCCCAGTGCCTTAGTAACAGCTTAAAGGAACTTTAATTGGATGTTTGGCTTTGCAAACAATCACCACTACAGAGCTTTTAAATGTAAAAGGATAAAATCCTATGATGTTATGTAGATTTGAATATTTATATATGTACTGTGAAGAACCTGGTAGGTTGTAAAGGTTTTGAGTATAAATTTACCAAATAAAAATTGATAAATTGTGGGTTTGTTTGTTTATTGTTGCTTCTCTTTTCTGTTTCTTGTGTTTAATGTTGGATAATTTACCAAAAATAAAGTGAAAAAGTGAAGCGAGGCTCTGAGTTATTACCATGTGATGGCTTGATAAAATACCCAAAATCTGGGTCACAAAACTCAAGAAAATAAACAAGCAAAAACTTTAAAACACCTTTTTATTTAGTTCCATGAAACACTGCTGTGTTAGAGGAACACATACGCTGTTATTTCTCTCCATTTCCAAACAGTCCTCCTGCTCTGTCTCCTCATCTAGCTCTGTGTTCGTGCCAAAGCGGAGCTGCGGCTCTAATGAAGCGTTTTCCCCCAACATCACCATTCTCAGGCAGAAACCTGCCACAGGAAATTACCATGGCTGTCACCTCAGTGTGCCCACCACAAGCCGAGCCCTCCCCTCAGCCTCCCAGTTATTTGCGTGTCCTGTTTCCAGTTTTATGTCAGCCAGCCTCTCCAGATGTGTGTGTGTGTTTTTGCATCAGAGAGCTTTAGTGTCTATGGCAGAGTGAGCAGCTAAGCATTTCCAGTGAAGTCAAAAGAGCTTCCGTCGTTTCACATAAGCTGTACAGAAAACTCTAACTGACCAACAGGAGTTTTCTCTAGGGTAGATTTAGCCAAAAATGATTGTGGTTTATATTGATTTACTGTCTGAAACAGTTTTAAAGTATCCCGATAAAATCACTTAAATTAATTAGCTTTGAATGAAACAGGTTTAAAAGCAGGAACAAAGAGAATGATTTAATACCATGAAACACAACTTTTTTCCCTCCTCGTCAAAAATTTCTCACACTCCTGTTGTGTTGATCCCTGCCCTTCTACCAATACATCATTACTGCCACCCTATGGAGGCCAGTCAGAGACAAGAGCCTGGGGCCATGATTCATATTTATAACAAGAGCCAGACCTGCAGTCGCCTCATTAGTGGAGAGTCACACAGGTCTGCTGTGTCACAGCTTCTGCAGTCTTTTTAGCTGACTTGACTTTGGCTCATTCTCCCTTCTCTGAGTCAGAGAGAGGTTACTTGTTGAATTCTTTTAGATATACATTTTTTTATCATTTGTTTCAGACATTTTTGTGTTTTACATGTTCCTGTTGAGGAGAAGCTGGATAGAAAAGGATTTCCCTTAGTGATGGCCTTTTTAAACTACCTTTTTCCCAATTTGAAAACGATTGTTTTATATCTAAAAATCTATAGTTTATCTATATTTTTCATTGTTTATAAGAAAATAAGATTAGCCTTCAGTTCCTCTCTGACTGCCTAAGCAATGATCTTCAGATATAACAGGACTCATGCCCTATAAAAATGTTATGGGTCTTTTCTGTTGACAGAATATTTTCTCTAAGGTATTTAGGAATCAAGATGGGATATTCCTATGCGTTCCCATTTTTGTGCAGAAGTGATTTTGGCCTTAGAGGTCACACATGAACATTGTCCTTAGTTGAAGCAAGTGTGACCTGAAATGATTTGGGTTCTGCTTACTTTTACGAAATCAAGATTGAGACAAGATTGAGACATTCAAAATCTCTTGAAGTGATTTTGGTAGATTTTGGTCAATGCTGAGAAGGTACACCGCACCTCCATTTTTTCCTTTTCTAAATTATTGCTCTAGATATTGTCATTCATCTACTCCATGTTGTTTATAGGTGTGATAATAAGATCAGAGGGTAACTGGTGACGTTGAGCAAGGCATTTGGAAACAATCACACCACTTCTGAGCTTTTTCTTTGAAAGATATGTTGATTCATGAGTGACAGTGGCGTCGAATGCAGGAGGTTAATCTGCAACCGAATGGTTTTCAGTTCAAACCGCAGCTCCAGCTTTCAGTGTCATTGTGCAATACGATTCACTTTCATTACCTACAGATGGTGGTCAGAGGCTAGACCTTTCTGTCAAGCTTCTGAAGTCTTCAGATGATAACACTGTTAGAGTAATTATTATTGAAGATGTTTGAGTTTATTACACCTTGGTATTGGCTGCCTTTTGCATGTCAGAACTGATGTTTTCCACAATAGTTTATCTAATTAAGATAGTTCCTCTGTCTGGATATACAGTTATAATCTTCATTCTCATTCCATTTCAGATTTGGAAATGGAATAAGAGCGGTGTCCTTCAGCTAAGAACGAAGTGTAATATTTTCATAAGGCTGGAGCCATGGATGTCTAATCATCTGCTAACTCGTATATTGTAAAATATGATGATGATGTGGCAGCTTGTAGATGTATAAATGCCTTTTTAACCTTTTAATTGGGGCGACTGAGAGGTGAGCCTAGATGTGAGCAGCTGCCTTCTGTAGCTCTAAGAAATTTCTCTGATCTGAGTAAGATTAGGTTTTCTATCAGAATCTGTTGTCATGTCTCCTGGTTATTTAATACATATAAGTTATGAAGTGTTATTTAAAGAGTTTGTCCCGAGTGATCTCTTTTCAGGGAAAAGAACTGGAGAGATAGAGCATCAAGGTGCATACACAGAGCCTATTTTTAACAACACCCTCTTTGCTTAATGTTTGAGGAAGATGAGTACCTATAGGAAGGGAACTAAACATCTTTTGACCTGCTGCAGCCAGAAGCCTGGAGCCTAATGATCTGTAAACATCTAGAGACGTTAATGGACAGTTGAAAAGTCCATCCTCTATCTATCTATCTATCTATCTATCTATCTATCTATCTATCTATCTATCTATCTATCTATCTATCTATCTATCTATCTATCTATCTATCTATCTATCTATCTATCTATCTATCTATCTATCTATCTATCTATCTATCTATCTATCTATCTATCTATCTATCTATCTATCTATCTATCTATCTATCTATCTATCTATCTATCTATCTATCTATCTAAATCATTTAGTGAATCAAATCAAATATTTATTGAACAGAATTTAATTAGGATTTGGGTAGATATTTAAGTAGACGTAGCCTACATTGGAGCTATTTTTATTTTGTTTGATTTTTTTTTTTCTCTTTTTTTATTTTATCAAAGCTGCACTGCGCTTACTTCTTTTCCGAGTTCGGACCACATCAATTAAATATATTGAGCTGAAAAAAAACTGAGTGTTTCACCTGATTAGACTCCCTCAGGCCTGATGTGGTTTCTGGTTCAGTCGGTCTAACTGAGCTCAGCAGCAGCTCCCTGTTAATGATAACTGATCAGCACCTGCAGGACCCAGGAGGATACCATCCGTCTCCAGCACCGCAGCCGGTTGGACAGCGACCGCAGCGGCGTCGTCAGCATCAGCGCGGCTCGGCCAATCAGAGCGCAGCTCGGGGCAGATTAACGCGCACAGCCCCGCCGCTGCTGCTGCTGATGCTGCTGCTGTAGTAGAAGCCCCAGAAACAAGCAGTCCTGCTCCGACCCTCGTGGATGATTACAGCTGCTTAACTAGGCGGTGTTAGGATGGACACAGAGAGATAATTACCTTTAACAGGAACTAAATCAGGAGGAAGATGGATGCTGACTCAATAATTGGAGAAAGTACAGATGCGATAGTGGTGGACGATTCTCCCATTGAAGAGAAGGAAATTCAGCAGGCTGGCCAGAGGTGGGCTGTTTCTGTTTGAATGTAGATTTTAGATCAATTCAAAATCAGTTTTTTATTTCCCTGTAAGTGTTTTATTTTCCTGACAGAAGAATGTCTAAATCCATGAAAAATTTAATAATGTGCACATTTTGCTTTCATGAATTTCTTGCTTCATCTTCATGTTCTTTATTGTTCAAAGCCTCATAATGCAGACATAAATCCTGGTCACTTTGAGCTGGTTTGTTTATGTTTAATGGACTGAGGGATGCAACAAGCAAACATGAAGGTAGCACAGCAATCTTTACTTCTCTGGGATCTGATGAGTTTCACTCCCCTGTTTTTGTTGAGAGGGGCTGTCTGGGTAGCAAATGGCAGCCCAGCACTCATTTTGATCCCCACTAGCAGCTCTGTTTTGCAAGAAAGGCATCAGAGACTGAGGCTGGGGGTAAAAAAGCAGAGGCTTCACCTCAGCAACAGACACGTCTCTGTCGCTACGAAGAGAATGTTGTCAACCCCCCCCCCCCCCCCCCCCCCCCCCCCCCCCACACACACACACACACACACACACACACACACAAGTTATCTCAGGTTTTGTCCCAACAAATCTGCACTGGAAAGAGGGCCAGCAGTCACTTTTGGGATTGATAATCATGGACTGGCTTAAGGAGAGACGTTTTTTTTTTTTTTTTTTTTTCAGATTTTGAGATTTTAACCTGATCAAATATTTTTTTCCAAAATAAGTATATAAATTACCAGCAGATAGAGCTTTATCTGACCCCTTAAACCTTTTATCATTAAAACATATTATGTTGATTATTTTATTTATCCTGCTGTATTGTATTAATTTTATTAGTTCATATGATGATTGCATGAAAACACCTGCAGGAACCACTTTAAAGCATTTTATTTTTATCTTCTATATAAATCTATTTGGATCCTTTGAAAATATCACTAAGACTTAATGCTGAATGGTTTCTATTTCCCTATAATTTTGTCATATTTGTGTGATTGAAGCACTGATTAGTAAATGGGCTAAGTAGCTCTCCACTCTGTGAACTTTCCAACCTCACAGAGGAAGCCCTCTGATTGGTTGATAATCATCCTTGATTCCTGTCATTATTGTTTGTCTGCTATTGCCCATTAAGTTGATTTTTCTTTTTGTTTAGAGGGTAAATGTTGATAAATATGCCACTTTTCTATTTTTCACTAATCTTTATAGTATGCTCAAGCCTTCAGTTATTTATTTTTATTTTCCAGAGCAGACCAACTATGCAATTATAATTTATTTTGGAAATTCAAGGTGACCAAAGCATCTCAAAAGCCAGCACCAGAACAAATGAGCCTCAGGATTCTGTCTGAGTGACCTGAGGGTGAACTGATCTCCTGTGTATCCAAAGCAATCGTTCTTAGAGAGCAGTAAATGCAACTAAACCACACAGTAGAGTGCTGAAATTCATAAAAGTAAGCAGGTTAGGTCCTGCTGCATATATCCAAACATTTCCATGTGTCACAGATGATAAGAGCTCTTTGTCCATAGATCTGCTTTATGTAGAGGTTGCCTTCTTTTCTGGTGTCTATTAGTTCAAATATAGACCCATCTTACCAAAGAAAATGTTATTCATTCCTGGTTTTGATCATGTTCTCTGATAAAATGTTAGTGCTGTCTTCATTTTTTTGTGTTGTCGTGTTTTGTTTGTTCTTTTACTACTGGTTTCAGTTTTACGAAAATAAATTAAACCCATTTTCCTATAAGTATAAGTAAGAGAAATTAATGTAAACAATTAATTTGAAATGTGGGAATCCTTAGCTTAAGTTGGTTCTTTTAAGTGTCTTGTTCTTTCAAAGATAGGCATCAGTTTAAATGCTGTGCCTGAGGTACTTAGGAGTACTGGGAACAAAATTGAGGTTCAGAGTCCAATGGAGTCTGCACACAAATCACCACCACACTGTCATCATGCCGCTCTTTCAAAGCAGCCTGCAGAAACTGTCCTGTGTGTTGTTCTCTATCATTTCTATGAAATATGTCTGAGTTCTGTAAATCACACTTTTTGTGTTCCTCATCATCAGCAACAAGACACTAAGTCACTTCCTTCTGCACCTAAATAGGCTAAACCCATTGATAAAATGCCTGACTCAGGGCTGCTGTGCTCATTCTGGGTTATGAATTATTTAGATTTTTCTCACAGTTTTACATTGGCATGAAGCACAAAGAAACACAACAGCCTAGATCTTCACCCAACTCAAGCAGCTCACTGAATCGCTCATCATCTGAGCGCCTTATTGCACGATGCAACTGGATCTGTGTGAGGTCAGCTGGGCTTTGATGGCTCCCTCTAATGCCATGGTTACGAGACGAGGAGACCGGCTGCATCCAGACTGCTGGAAAAACAAACAAAGTCAGAGCCTCCTCAGAGAACAGCCATTACACAGCAGCTTGGGTCGTTCATGAGTAAATTATGTTGTGTTTAACTTTAGAGCTAGCTGTGTGAGGACTGATGCAGAAGCAGGTCTGATGCATAGT